CTTGACCAGCTGTCGATTGGCTTTACTGGAAGATTCATGCTGACGCTGTTTCCGAGGCAATCTCCTCTTTCACCGGAATCGAAGGAGATTGCCTCGACAACAGCGTCTGCATGAATGTTCCAGTAAAACGAATCGAAAGCTGGTCAAGAGGAATCCGCCGTCGTCTTCTGGTGGAACTGACCTTCGAATCTCTTCACCCACACTTTCACTCAAAATGGAAGTAAGCTCAACAGTTAGTAAAGACTTTTGTCGAGTGCGTGAAGGCTGCCGGGAAGCTCTGCAGTCTCGGACACTTGAACCTCCACACGAATGCCATTGTACAGAAGACTCATTTTCTTCTTTTTCAAGGCTGTTTGGGCATTTCGCCTTATAAGGAGAGCAAATTGGGCTTACTTGTTTCGATTGTGACTCCCAGCTTTCGAGACATCTCGGAAAATCCGAGCTTTTAGCCTGACATGTTTTCGACAACCAAACATTGTTTTCTACGTGGGTTCGCCCTTATATTTTATTACATTTGTTACTTAACTCAAGGCAATAAAACAATTACAAGGAGTGGTTTCACTCTTCTGGAATATTTTTGTCCACTTAATTCTGGAAAATATGGTCTCATACTTTATTGCTTTTTCCTCAGTGTAAGTCTGTCTTTGGCTTGAGCGATGCTAGCCGCAAGCAAACAATGCCAGGAAGAGCAGCAAATCTCATTTGCCTAGGACGTATGACTACTTCGATGGCTGCCGGAGTTTGTCTTTACTTTTCAAGACAAAGCTCATCTCGTAAGGGAAAGGCAATACAAAAAAACCCACTTGCACACAAGCATGCGTACATTTTGAGTGTCCCACTCATGGAGGAGTGGACTGAGCAACCTGCGGGGAATGTCCATTTGACCAGGCTTGCTCATCTACTCCAACGGAGTCATGGAAGCTTCTGCATGTGATGTGTAATCCATCGTCTTTACGATCGTAAGCCGTTTTCAAACTCTGGACAAGAGGTTGTCGGAGCAGTCTGACCATCGCAATTTAAGGACTGGGCAAGAATGAAGAGGCGGAGAAGCAGAGTAGGCAAAGGACTGGAAAAGTTGACGGAGGAAGCAGGGAGAAGATTAAGAAAAATGAGTCTGTGAGACCGAGACAAGCAGGCAATCTCGGTCCCACTACAATCACATGTCGTGACCAGGTCGGCCAATCGTCTAAATAGGCAAGAATCTACGGCTGCTGCTACATCTTATGAAGCCGTTGCTTCTTATATATACATATATCTTTTTATCAATCTGTCATGAAGTCGGCAACGGAGGAAAAGAGGAGGTGGTGTTGGTATTTGCCGCTAAATAGACATGCAAATAATTGTCTTCGAGAGTCAGGAAGCTCAGGTCTGTGTGCGTGCGTCTGTGTCAGACTGTATGTCTATTTATATACAAGTGTACGTATGCATTTATCATACTCCTACCTTGTCGTGATACGTGTATGCTTGTCCGCTATTGCGTGAGTGCGTGTCTGTTCTGGTCTGGAAGCCTACCGGGAATGGCGTTACGGTTTGAAGGGTGGAGAAGGTGGTCGCTGGGGCGCAGGCCAAAAAGAGAGGGTTGAAATGAAGAGAGGAGTGGACCAAGGAATCAGGCGAGGGCCCATTCCAAGATAGTGATTCATTACTCGGCTCAACAACACAAATGTGAACATTCCACTCGTCCGCTTGTCCTCTTCACACCACCATACACAACACCCTCGCCCTCCCAAAACCCCTCAAAGAACCCGACAGTTATTTATCCTTTCCTACTCATGTATGGCTATCACATTCTTATTTATCTCATTGTTTACTTTATATTCACACTTCTGGTCTCCCACGGCTCCGGTTGAGACTAGACAGCTCTGGTCGTCCGTGAGTAGCTTACCGCCAAACTATATTTAGATGGGAGATCAGAGGAATCAAATTAGACCTTCGAGGGTAAACACTTTAACAGTGAGGCCGAATGGGAAAACCTCGGGATTAGCCATAAGGGCCCTCTTCAGAAGCCACGGCTTGTTGGACTCTGGTCGTGTCAGGCTTTGGACGAGGCCAACACACCCACAAGCATTCAACGCCGTCCGAACGTGACTAGACACGAATAGAGCCACCAACGGTTTAGGAGGCAACCGGATGCAGTCTGTCCGAATGGACTGTTTTTGCATAGAGCACGAGTACTGCTATTATCTACAGTCGGTATCTGTAGTGTTTTTCTGCCAGTCAAGGGGAGGCTAACAGCAGAAACAGCATATGCCAGCGTATTTTTAGGCAAAGACTAATGTTGTCAAAGGGAAAGATAAATCTGCGCTATATTCGGGTTGGGTAGATTTTTAAAAAGCCATTGGCAGTTTCCAGAACCTACTCGCCATGGACGCGAATAACGTATGGGAAGAAAAACTGTGTGAATTTTAATGGCTTAATCAATGTGGACAAATTCAACTATCAGTCCTTCATTGTCACATGCCACTTAGAGTGAATACAGCTTTTATGAATTTGCGATTCTTGTGTTGGTCCTATGAATCAGGGCGCATTCACCCACCAACCGGCTTTATTATGTTTATGAGATGTATTCACCCAATTTCGTTTAAGATGATGAAGGACTGGTAGAAGAAGAATTTTCCCACAATGGTATGAGTTTAGCTGATGTTTCCATTCTATTTCACATAGCCTTGCTTTCCCAAAAGTTGTTCTCATCCAGGCACCATTGGACTGCAATTTCGACCTCGCATCGGTTTTATCAACATCCTCAGTGGGAGTCTAATCGCGATAGTGTAGGATGGGAGCTTGAGACGCTACCCACTCAGCTACACTGCCACGAGCGCTTTTTGGGTCACAGGGCAAATGTGAATTTTCAAGAAAGGCCAGGCCTTTTAGCCATATCATATGCTTTCGGTTGAATTGTCGATGAAGCAAACGTATATCTGCTATAACAATCGACTACTATATTTTATTTTCCGAATTAAGTATTGTTATCGTGACTACCAGTAAATCAGTAATATGAGATGTATTCACCCGATTTCGTGTAAGGTGATGAAGAACTGGTAGAAGAAGAAATTTCCCACAACGATATGAGTTGAGCTGACGTTTCCATTGAATTTTACATTTCCTTGCTTTCCCAAAAGTTGTTCTCATCCAGGT